TGATGGTGCTGGGATTCTGAACTCATGACCTTCTGATCTTTAGCTCAAATCCTTAACCACTGAGCCACCACCTCCCTCATTGTGTCCTCTAGAGCCACTAGGTTATGGGTTCATGGTCTCTACGACAGGTGTCCTGGATCAGGAACCTTGTAATCTCAGGAAATACTTGCTTTGTGAGGCTTGATGGGTCTTGCTGCTCTTATCCACTACTCAGACCTTGTCCCAGCCATAAGAAATGAACCTGATGGTCCCTGAATCTGTAACCTAGTAGCTCTAGATCACAGAATACTATGCATATGGTGAATTCAGAGGACTGTGGATGGGCATCACACTAGATAGATAAAAGTATAAAAGTAGGTCGCATGTAAAATGTTTCCATCCCTTCTTGCCCTTCGTTTTGCCCCAATCCTCTGTACCTCTGTAGAAAAAAAAAGATTTCTATGTTGTTCTCTCTCCTCACATACTTTTGTATATCATTGGATAACTACATATCATCTGCAAGATACAGTTAGGTCCTGAAATCCAAAAACTCTTTAGAAGTGTGTAAGATTTGCAGTTGTCTAATAGCCCTGCTGAATGCTGGATTGTGATTGGTCAGAAGGTGTTGATTAATTTTCTATAGGAGCAGCTCTGACAGTAGTGCAGCTGCAAATCACAGGTTTATATTAATGCACTCATTCTATTACGTTATCGTTTCTATAGTAACAGCTCATTCACAGCGACTCGTACAGCGGACACTCCACATAAACCGATTAAAAGAATAGTTAGTGATATGGTGAAGTCTTCTGTAAGGAGATGTTTATGTAACATTTATGGAAGGAGTCTCTAGTGTCAGCACTTTGTAACAGTCAGAAGTAAAGCTGTATTTTTAAGATTTTTCACTTATTAACTTCAAGAGAAAGAGAAAGGAGAGGCTGGTGAGGGGACGACTGTTTATAGCTGCTATACCGTAAGTGTGAACAGGAACTAGCTTGTTTCACACAACATTAAATATAACTATAAATTGATAAAAAGTATTATGTGTCATACTTTAATAAAAAATAAATGTATAAAATAAAGAGTAATTGTAAAAGTAATTGGTCATCATATCACCCAGAAATTTACTGTGTGTATGTGAGCATCAAAGTAAAAGTGTGTGTGTGTGTGTGTGTGTCCGTCCTCAGTTGCGCAGCTCCTTTAAACAGGCTTTTGGGAAGAAGAAAAGCTCAAAGCTGCAGTCGTCTCATGATGAGCTGGAGGAAATGACGGACTCGTCCGTTCCGGAATCACCGAAACTGCAACACACACACACAGACAGCAGCACACAGGCCTTACACACGTCTTCATCCACTACTGAGTGAGTACACACACACACACACACACACACACACACTTATATTTTTGCTTTTTACTGTCTTTTGTCTTTTCTAGTCTGTGCTTCCTTTCCATTTAATTTGCCTATGTCCTCTTTTTCTTTTTCTCAACTTTACGCTCTGTGTGTGTGTGTCCTTGCGTGTGTGTCCGTGCGTGTGTGTGTGTGTTAGTAAATCGTCCCCCATTTGGGTGCCAAAGAAAAGGCAAAACGGCCATGTCATCTACAAACACAGATCTCGGTAAAAGGAAGAGTGATGCATGATGGGTAAAGGTGAATGTGGTGTGGCGTGATCTTTGCATATGACCCATAGAAAAGAGCTGAGGCTGCAGTGCATTATGGGTAATATTATAGTGAACTGTCTAGTGAGAATTTGGACAACACCACAAACCTATTAACACCCAAAACAGTGCACAACCTGTCTGCTGTGTGTATAAGTGTGTGTGTGTGTGTTTTTGTGTATAAAGTGTTTACACAGGGATGTATTCAGAGTCGGTCCAAATGTTACGTCAGTATTTACGCTGGGAAAGTTCCTGGTATTCAGAGTCGGGTTACGCAGCTGCTTATGTGGATTTTCTGAGCTCCACATTCAGATTATTGAAATCACCTGCGTGTAGTTCACACCTCTGAGGTTGCCAGAGATTTCTAACAGCGTCTAGACCACCGCCATTTTAAAACTGAAAAATAAAAAGACTATTATGATGATATCTGAGTAAGAAGACGGCGAGTGTTGAAGTAAAACTAATAGGAGTCTCGTATATTGCCAATATATCACTGCATGAATAGAGCTAGCTGTAATGATCACATTAATGACTGGTTTAATTTAACAAAATGGCTTCCACACTCATTATTCAGCAGCTCATAGAATAGCACTTGATCCAGCACAGAGTGTTATAATAGGATTGTAAATTCTCTCTGCTCACTGAACTCTACTCTGAATACGCACCTGTGAGACTGATTCATCCACCATACAGGTATGTGGTGTAGTGCTGCTATTCATAAAAGTTGTTGCACTATGTGACCGTGTGTGTGTGTGTGTGTGTGTGTTCAGGCTGTGTGAGTGTACTGAGGCCGAGGCAGAGATCATCCTGCAGCTGAAGAACGAGCTGAGGGAGAAGGAGCTGAAACTCACAGACATCCGACTGGAGGCTCTGAGTTCAGCACATCACCTGGACCAGATCAGAGAGGCCATGAACCGCATGCAGGTACATACACACACACACACACACACACACACACATATATATATATATATATATATATATATACACACACAGGCAATACTCACACATTCTCTCTCTCTCTGACAGAACGAGATCGAGTTGCTGAAGGCGGAGAATGACAGATTAAAGTCCAGTGGAAACTCCACCCCTTCTGCCGTGTCATCCAAAACACCCCGCCCCCCATCAGAGACCTCAAGTACCTCCTCCTCGTCCTCCCGCCAATCACTGGGCCTGTCACTCAACAACCTCAACCTCACTGAGACCATCATGTCAGGTGAGAAGAGAGCATTTGAGGGATTTACATGACGGAAGAATGCTATTTTTACTCGTTTAGCTTGTTAAAGTGTGACACTTTCCCATTGAAACACACTGACAGCTGATGATGTCATAATGGGCGTTACAGCAGCTGACCAATCAGCAGCCTCGATTTAACTCTCACTTAGTGGAATTGCACACTCATTAAAATCCTAACACACACACACACTCACTATAAATATTATTAGAGAAGTTAAAAAGAGTGAACAAAAGAAAAGGATGCAAAATTAAAGAAAGAAAAGATAAGCATGGAAAGAAAGAAAGAAAGAAAGAAAGAGTTGCCTTGATTACTAGTTAGCTAATAATGGCATTAGCAGGTTAGTGAGCTGAGAGAACTGTACAGTGTGAAGGAAACTGAGGAGGAAATTCCTGTAGCTATTTCCTTGATATAGGTAAACATACTTCCTAGCCCTTAAGGGAACTTTTTTTAAGGGAAGTTTTTCCTCATGTGTGCATCACTCAGTACTTTGACGTTCTTTCTTTGACTTTCAGATCTGCTGCTGGACGACGGCTACGAGGGAAACTTGCGTAAAGAGGGACGAAGTGTCCGAATAGTCGTCACCATCGCCGGGGGCTCCAACAGGACCAAGGTGCTATTAAACTAGATTTGTTGACGATTATTATTTTATGAATATTTAATATTTTCTCAGTATTAAAGTTGAAAGTGTTGAACGTGCAGGGTTTACAGAGTCTGGAGTATCTCATCGGCTCCATCGGCGTCAGTGGAAAAACCAAGTGGGACGTGTTGGATGGTGTAATACGACGACTGTTCAAGGTCAGAGCTTTGGAATTAATACTCACTTGATACTACAGAAAAACTCAGTACTGGTGCTTGTTCATGGAGTATGACTAAGTATGCCTGATGTACAGAGCATTAAGTACTGGAAAGTAGTATAAACATTAGAAATACTCATAGGTATCAGTACTTATTAAGCACTTATTCATGAAACATACTTAAACTCAATACTTACTCCTAATACCTAAAAGTACTTCGTATTTAAACTACTCACTCAATAGAGGTGTAGTATGTATATATAGTATTAATACTGTGTAGAACTCAGTACTCGATATTTAATAAGCACTTAACATTTATACTATAATTAACTCAATAATTACTTATTCAGTACTATATCTATATCTACAGCTATCTATATCAATAACTACGTATATCTCCAGTGTTTACATCACTGCACTACCACATCACACTCTTACACTGAATTCTTTTTTATATATTTATTCTTTTTTCTTAATTTCATTTATAATAATAAATTACTTTTAGTGTACTTCTAACTCTCTGTGCTGCTGTATTGTGTGAATTTCCCTCTGGGATGAATAAAGTGATCGATCTATCTATCTGTCTATCTATCTATCTATCTATCTATTTAGTTCAGTATTGGATCAGTATTTAGTTATAATATCACATTAGCTTGTGTTTATTCAGTACTTAATCTGTATAATATATACGTATATTGTATGTATATTGTATAACAAATACATTTTAAACTCTGTGTTCAGTACATAGTATTTATATTACTGACTAATTATCTGGATTAATACTGCAAAGTAATACAAGAACTCATTAATGAGGACCAGTTCACCTGCACATGCGTGCTTATAAAAGCAGATTTTTTTAAATTAAATGATTATGCAGCTTTTGATGTTAACGATATGCCTTTCGATGGTGTGTGTATCAGGAGTACGTGTTCCGTGTGGATCCTTTAACGAGTCTGGGCCTGAATTCGGACAGTATAGTGAGCTACAGGATGGGGGAAGTGGAGCGCTCTCACGTTGCTGAACTTCCTGAACTTCTGCCCTGTGGATACCTGGTGGGAGAAAACAACATTATCAACATTACACTCAAAGGTGAGAGGCTTTGTCTTTACCGAGACGCTTTTATTTAACGTGACGTACAGCTGAAGAAGTCAAGCATAACAACCTTATTCGTACTAAAACTTTTTAAAAAAAAGTCAAAACGTTAAATTCTGTCTTTCATTTCTGGCATTAAATAGCATTTATACTCTGTGAAAGCTTATTAGCTTATTACTTAGCACTTGGTACTCCTAAAAGTAGTACAGATTTCTTACATAGTGTTAGTACCAAAGAAGTACTAAGTGTTGCTGTTTTAGTACTGATGCTGTATAAGAACTCTGTGCTTACTACTTAACTGATACTTATTCAAGGTA